TGAGTTTCAATGCTGGGTTTTACATGTAAACAGATGTTCAGTTTTGCACGTTTTAGTATTCATTAAAATATCCGGGAATTTAACTACCTTGTAGACTGAGAGATAATTGACTTGTTTAGTTTGGACCTTCACTAAGAATTGTTTACTGTTGCAGAAAATTATATCTTCAGTGGCAGCAAGTCCTGTGGTATTGTATACTTGTGTATACAACATGGCTATGTCAGTCTGCTGTTGCTGTTATCACAGTCATGAGATTTCTAGGTGTGTGTAAATATTAATATATGTGTATGTATACGTATCTACCTGTATGTGTGTATGCATACAGATGCATACCCATGTAAGCACATACATATATATATTCAACCCTTATATTAAAATGGAAATATAAAATAAACTAATATTCAACTTACTATTGAGTTTATTGCTCAAATATGGACTTCCTCATTATAAAACTAGGTACAAACATCTGATAATTTCATTATATCATTTAACGTAGACAAGCCTGGAGCATTTATATATTCAACTAGTATTTTATTATGAACACATTTCTTTTATTTCTTCTTTATATTAAGGGCAAGCATTATATATTATATTTATGAAATTATGTATATAAAAAGGCTATGCTATTTATGACTTTTACTTAACAATAACAAAAGGGGCTTTATAAAATATTTGTTATATTGGGTCTGATAGGACTGGGAACCAACACCTTGTAACTCCATGCTTCTAATGGGCTTCCCCTCTAACTGGTATGACTTTCCTATCCCTTCTACCTGAAAAACATCCACTCGTATTCAGGAACCCTCCCTTGCATGCTCACATGTCCCCCTGTACGTGATGCTATTAAAGCATTTATCAGATAGTACTCTCTCTGCTCCTCTGCTCTTCTCCTTTGTAGACTGTGAGTTCCCAGACAGTAGGGTCCTTGTCTTACTCTTTTCTGTAAACGCAGAGTCTAGCATGTTGGCAATAGTTGGTTCTCAATAAATGCTTGCAGAATGAATGAACCTACTCAAGTAGAGGTTACCACAGCACTTTCTGGAAATGGCAAAATGAGTTAAGTCAATTCTCATTAAAATTTGTAAAAAAAATTACATGAAACTCCAATTGGTCTAGCAGACACAATAGAACCAATCCTTTATAGTAGAGGTGGATGGCTCTGAGTCTTATCAATCTGTCCTGATGTCAACTCTTGAGGGCCTCTGAACTCAGGTCAACTCTCTCAGTCACCTCTATGATACCCCAGTTTGAAAAACATTGCAGTGGATAATCTCTCATCAGGGTGACCTCTAGCTTAATGATTTTAGGATTTGCCATTTAGTTTCAGGTCAAAAATCCCAAAAAGTTTTCTTTTTTCATATTCTTGTGATGAGACTTCCCAAATTAGTTCCTTTGAATATAAGATCTCTTTTTTTCCAGAAGCATTTTTCTCTCTCTCTTTTTTTTTTTTTGCCAGAAACAAAAATGGAAGCTAAATATTTTTAATACTTTTACTACATGACATTATACACTTTTGGAAAAGTATCATTCTGAAATATCACTATGTATTGAAAAACTAACTAAAAGCTTGATTATAGGGGCACCTGGGTAGCTCAGTCAGTTTAGCATCTTGCTTTTTTTCAGCTCAGATCATGACCTTGGAGTCCTGGGATTGAGCCCCTGGTTGGGCTCTGCGCTCAGCGGGGATTCTGCTTAGGGACTCTCCCCCTCTGCCTCTCCCCCACCCCTGCTTTCTCTCTCTTTCAAATAGATAAATAAATCTTTAAAAAAAGCCTGTTCCTGGGGTGGTGCGGGGTGGGAGGGTTGGGGTGGCTGGGTGATAGACATTGGGGAGGGTATGTGCTATGGAGAGCACTGTGAATTGTGTAAGACTGTTGAATCACAGACCTGTACCTCTGAAACAAATAATACATTGTATGTTAAAAAAAAAAAGAGAAGATAGCAGGAAGGGAAAAATGAAGGGGGGGAATCAGAGGGGGAGAAGAACCGTGAGAGACTATGGACTCTGAGAAACAAACTGAAGGTTCTAGAGGGGAGGGGGGTAGGGGGATGGGTTGGCCTGGTGATGGGTATTAAAGAGGGCACATTCTGCGTGGAGCACTGGGTGTTATGCACAAACAATGAATCATGGAACACTGCATCAAAAACTAATGATGTAATGTATGGTGGTTAACATAACAATAAAAAATAAAAAAAACTAATGATGTAATGTATGGAGATTAACATAATAAAAAAAAGACAAAAAAAGCCTGATTATAGTTATATGATATAGTTTGTATATAAAAGAAATATCTTCATTATTACCCTTGAAAAATGTATAAAGTAGTCCAAGTCATCACTGGTCTTGTTGTTACCTCTCATAACCAACTCAGCCCAAGAGTTGACACCCTTATCCCCCTTCCAGACCCAGTCCTCCACTTGCTATCCTTGATGCCTGCATACCTCCCTCTAAAATATGCCTCATGCTCCTTTGCTTTGCAACCTAATAACCATCCTCAAAATATTTCCTTTCTGTCTCCCATTTCTTTAGGATTCCTAACTGCAACTAGCTAGTCTAATAACTACTGTAAGATCACAGACACTCAGTAGGTATTTACTGAATAAAGATTAATTAAGGTATTTATGGATTACTGTGGTAACATGTAAGTTTAAGGGAAGACTTCATTAAGAAACAGACTTTAATCCAAAGGGATGGAAAGGAGAAAAGGAGTAACCTTTGGCAAGTACTTACTATGTACCTGGTACTGAGTTAGTCTCTTCATGTAGGCTGTTTTATTTTTGAAATCGTAAGAACAGACCTTTCACCATTTTACAGAAACACAAATGAAATCTTAATGAGTTAAGTATCTTGCCAAAATATAGCAAGTAAGTGGCAAAGAGGAGAGTCAGACCTAGGTCTAAGTCCAAAGTCAGAACTCTTCTCATATCATATCACATCTTAAAAGAATTAGGAGTAGCTTTGGGACCATGGGGGAGCCCATGAAAGCACACAGGAGTAGAGACCTGGCATTGGTTTCTTTGAGGCAAACTTCACCTTTTCCTTGGTGCTACCTGGAAAACATTGTCCAGACATCATTTTTCCCAGAGACTACTTCATCCTATACTAACGTGAATCACAATTTTTGTTTCAGCTCTCTTGAAGTCCTGTCTGAAATAGCGATCATCGAAATCACATACTTTAATGTTATAATTTTCAAGTGATATAGAAACTAAAAATAAACTAATCAAATGTTGCTTCCTAGAAATTCTACCTTAATGGTTTTAATCAGCATATTCCAATACTGGTTTGATTGTTATTGATGAAATCTCATCAGTAAATCAACTTCCCCTAATGATCCTATTTACCTATTTATTTGTTCACTTATTCTTTTATTTTGTCAAGTTGAAATTTAATCTGCTATTGGTGTGCATATTTTAAAATTTGAAAGAGTGAGATTTTACTCTATTGTTTATCAATAAGAACTTATTTGATGTAAATACATGGATCACCCATTGCAAGAAACTCATAAAGATAAGTATCAAGAAGTATTTTGCTTTCTTGTCTCTAAATTAACTACCAAAGTTAGAGTATCTAACATGAAAAGTTCAACTGGTTTAACAGCAGCTAATTTTTTCTGATTATTTTTCTAAGAGTTTCACAGGTATTATCTTATTAGAGCCTCAAATTAAAAATAAATAAATAAAACAATGGAAGAGGGGAAGTAATATTATTATCCTTACTGATGAGGAGAGTCAGGCTTGAGGCTTTGTATAAGGTTTGTAGAATCCAGGAAGAACATATTGCTCCGTTGCCCTGCTCTTTTTTTTTAAGATTTTACTTATTTATTTGAGAAAGAGAGAAAGAAAAAGCAGGAACTGGGAGAGTGGCAACAGGGTAGGGAGATGGAGAGAATCTCTCAAGCAGACTCCATGGAGCCCGACACAGGGCTCCATCCCAGGACCCTGAGATCACAACCAAAGCTGAAACCAGTCTGATGCTTAACCGACTGAGCCACCCAGGTACCCCTCCACTGCCCTGTTCTTAGCTGCCCAGAGTTCAACGGGCATGATCTATTGGAGAAAATTTACTTTTAAACTAATTGTTCCCCTCGGCAGAGGAAGATTCTTTTATCCTGAAGCCTTAATTGGTCAGGGAGCAAACATCTGCAGAAGGCATTTTGATATTTGATCTCTTGAACAAAAAGAAAAGATGGGGTTCTCAGGTAGAAAAGTACCCTGAATTTTTAAAACTCAACACATTGAGGTTATCTTTCTCAAGCTACTCCCTGAGAACTACTTTCACATCTTCTGTAAGTCTTTCCATTATAGAATCCAGGAAGATTATTTACAATAAAAATTCATGGCAATTAAATGGAGGGGACTTTAGGAGAACTTAAGTGCTTTTGGATCAAAGAACCCCTTGAGAATCTGGTTAAAATTATGGACTCCAACCAGAAAATGCACTGTACTTTTACTTGTCAGATTTCCTTGAGGTTTCCAGCTTCATAAGATACTGGGAACACAAGAAGTCTTTTCCATTTTAGATATTATTTAAGAGAAAGAGTTTTGAACAAGACATTTTAGAAGATGCCTCTTCCACATAATTTGAACATAAAACAAGTTCCTGCTGTCTCCAACCACAATTATGAGTCAAGAAAGAAAGAGACATCTTCTACTTTGACAGTTTTATACCCATGAAGTTAACATGTAGAGATTTTACAGCCTGGAAATGTGTTATGTGCTATGAAACACTTTTCCAAAGTTTCCTTCCTTGGTTAAAAGATAAATAGTCTTTAGTATCTCTTAACAAAAAAAGAGAGAATTGTGAAGTATTTGCAGTGGCAAGATTGTCCCATTTCATTTTATAGCATTTCCGATGAAATGAATTTCATCTCTGAGATACGGGAAGTTTGTAAAGAAACAACTTGCGGGTTTTTTGTTTTTTGTTTTTTTGCAGTTGAAATAGATTCACTTTTGTAATTGCAATCTTTCAGAGAATAAGATTCTTAAGCAGCACTTACCTCATCAGAACCAGATCCAAAAATCAGCAAGTCAAAAGGAATTGCTGCAACCATGTCGATCAGGAACCAGCCTTTGAAGTAGTGTATTGCTATTTTGGCCGGATCACTTACCACTTCTTCATTCTGATTTACATATGTTGTTCTGAAGTTTATGAGAATATCTATGATGAACATAATATCCACAATCAAGTCCACCACATTCAAAGGGCTACAAGAATAGCCACATTCTCGTCTTTTCTGTTCTTCTCTGTCATTGAGGAGAAAGGCTGCAGAGTAGGGCGTGAAAATAGCAGTGTATATGACCAAGAGCAGAATAAGCCAATCCCAGACTGCCTTGAAGGGGCTGTAGTGCAATATTGTAAACTTGTTGATGCGTGGGGTCTGCAGTTTATATTCTGGCAGGACATCTGCTCCTAAAGAGAGAACCTGATCAAAAAAAGAAAATCGCACACTACATAAAAATGTCATTATCTGATCTCCTAACCTACAAAAATATTAAGGTAATTATACATCAAAATCTATTAGGCAGGATGCATATAATTGTGAAGGATGCATGAAAAACACATATGTTTAAAGGACCTGATATAAACCCCCTTTCTGCAGTATATTTGACCCCAGAAAACTCCATTGGTATTTCTTGATAAACATGATTTTCACTGAAAAGTAATGAATATTGTCACTGAGAAAGCAAGGAGTGGTTACTGGTTCTTTTGGAACATACTACTACTCAGAAATAAAAATACATGGCTGTTTTTAGAAAATCATAAAATCAGTCTGATACATGAGTAATTCAGTTTTCAAACCTCAGAAAGGACTGTCTGTAATGAATAGAAGCAGCCTACTTGGATCCATGTTCATATTTAATTTACATATATTTAATTTATAATTAAACCTTGATAAATTAAACCCAACTCATTCAAATCTTTAATTACAATTTTCCCACCTGCAATCTGTTTTTAACATTAGAAAAAAGGCACATGAGACTAAAATAAACACAAAGGAGTCTTTTTCCTAAAAGGTTGAGAGAATATTTTCTATTCTGGGACAAATGTTCTTTCACCCAAACTCCTCCATCACATTTAGAGAATCACAAAGCGAGAATGGTGCAAAGAGATATTCAGAATATCGGTCTGGAAATGTTGCAAGATTATTAGCACCAATGGGCACTTAAGCCCTGAGATTTATTCTACATGATAAGACATTGGTAGACTAAAATAGTTCATCTTGTAGAATCTTAGTTTATCTGAAAAAATTAGAACTTGAATCACATCCCAGTAGAAAAGTTCATGAGTTGGTAACTTTAGACTAAGTTTCAAGAACCAAGTTCAAAGCAAAAAGGTTATCTCATTACCGAAAAATGTAATTAGTCTTAATATAGGGGTTTACAAAAACGAAAATTTTTTGATGGCTCCACAAATTGCACCTAGAGACATATTTTAAAGGAGCAGTGGGTTATATATACACTTATATTATGAATATCCCATGTATATGCAATGTCTCTCAGAGTTAATTTCACTGAATAAATTTTTAGGCTAGATTCTCCTAAATACAGCTAATATATTATCAGCTTTGCAGCAAGAACCTCAGACAATCCCCTATTGGTTAGTCAAAGAGTATTATTTCTCTGTTCTTGGTAATTCTATCCCTGTAGGTTTTAACTTGATTATAACAATATCATAGGCAAATTTCAATTTTAAATCTTATTTTCATTGTCATATCTCATACCTTTTTCACATATGAGCTACCATTCTTATCTTAAAAAGAACTTGAGAAGTTTAATAACAACCACAAATGAGGTACAGCATGATTTTTAAATATAACAGTTCAGGTAAAATAGACAAAGGTGCTTTAAGATAACAGCTAAACTGATTTAATTTGAATTGAAAAAATAATAATAATACAGAGCCTAGCCACTTTTTTTCAGTCCAGAGTAAATCTGAACAGGAAACATGGCTTTATTTTAAGCTATTATGAGAAAGGACAGGAATTATTAGTAAAAAAAGAAATCTGGAAAATAAAGTGATTTCATTGTTTCTGAAATACTGAAGATTTTCAGAATCCAAGGTCTCAATCTTTATCTCTAACTCTAAAGAGGAATAATGTTTGGAAAGTCTGTCAGTTGATTACTGCAGGCTGTTAGAACTCCAATCTTGTTATGCTCAGCACAGAAAACTAGCCCATAATATCTTGGTCTGGAAAGAATGGATCATCTCTTAAGGTGTTACCATGTAATATCCCTTTCTAAAAACAAAACAAAACAAACAAACAAACAAAAAAAAAAACAGGGAAGTTTCAGAGTGTAGAAAGTAAAATCCGCAATCTTATTTTGCCTCTCAAAGTCATCTAAAATATGGACCCATTCTATTTTTCCAGTTCCTTCTCTCAATAGATTCTTTTATGCACTCTGATAAAATTTGGCTAAAATCTTTGAACTACTGAGATATTTCCAAATCCCTAAATTCACAAATTTCTCTCATAAAAAAAGGGTATGTAATTATCCAAAGGGAAAAAACAACAACAAAAAAGTTATTCTTAAAGAGAGGGATATTTGTCTGAGTTTGCTCCCTGCTTAAGTGACATGCCCCTGATACCAACTTCCCACATACGGCAGTTTGAATGCCTGTTTTAGCAGAAGTCTAAGTTAGAATGCATTCAGCACCATTGAGCATCCCCTGAGAAGTGAAAACTGTGGATGGAGACCTTTCCATCCCACATATGCATGCATTCCTGTAACAGAGGACCGCTGTGCTAAGAGCTGGAAATTGAAAAATTGGAAAGATACTGTCCCTGACATTGCAGTTTATGGTCTACTGGGAGAAAAAGACATGCAAAGGGAAGTCCTGATGAGGTCGATCCATTCCTGGGTTGGTGGTGCTGATGAAGGGGGTGGTCTCCATAGAGGCTTTTCAGGGAAAGATGTCACTTGAACTGAGACTTTGAGTGGGGAGGGGGAGAAAAGAATGCAGCTGGGGTATGATGAAACTGGAAACGGAAGACTATTACAGGCAGAGGGAACAGAATGAACAAAGGTAGGGAGGCATGAAATAATGTGTCGTGTGTTGAGGAATTATAAGCTGCCTTGTGCTGCTGGTGGACAAAATGCATTTGCAGTAATTGGTATGGTACCAAATAATATCGTATGTGTTCTTTTGACTTCTGCATGGGTATGCCTATGTTTTATCATTCAATTCTCTCATGAATTTTACTAGCCAGTGATTTCAAAACTTTTATTTATATAGCATACTTTAGCACCATGAGGTCTCATTATCAATCCAAATGTGGTCATGGGCACCGAAGTCAGGTAGCCCTCTATTATTAAGTGATTATCTTACTGAGTCAGAAGATTATTTTGTTTTGAGTTTTCACCAACATATACAAGTTTTTAAGATTTTCTGGGAGAACTTATGGTCCTTTGAGAATATTCTTTTCTGTGAATATTGGTTTAAGAATTGTTAAACGTTACCAGGCAGAGAAGGCAAGGTGACCAAGTTTAGTTTTTGATAAGTGCATCTGGCAATGGAAAGCAGGAGAACCCAGAGGGGGCAGGATCAGAGGCTTAGAGATAAATTAGGACTTTGGTACTAAGAAAGATAGATAAATGAAGAGCGATCAGGAAAGCCTGTATTAAGGGGAGGTGGCAGAGACTAAAAAGAGGGATACATTTGGGAAATAAATGCATCTCAAGATAAGAATGAGAAATAAGGAAATATTTGTTTCTTTGTGGTTTCAATAATGAGTTTTATTAGAGCCAATCACGGTAATAAAAATCTATGCAGGCTCACCCATTTGTAGAATAAGGGAAAGAGCTCTAGACTTTAAATGTGAAGATCTGGGTTTAAATTTCAGATACAATTTTTCTGCTAAGTAATTTAATCTCTCTGGATCTGGGTTTTTGTTTTGTTTTGTTTTGTTTTTTCATCTGTGTGATGGAGATAGAATCTTTGTTCAAATCACCTGTCTATACAGAGCAACCATATCACATTAGATAATTTCTATAATAGTGTCTGATAAAATGGGAAATATCTACATAAAGTAATTTCATTATTATTTAGAATTCTAGGGTTACTCATTTAATTCTTGATTTAAACAAACCAACTATAACCAAAACATTTATGAGCCAATTGGAGAAAGCTGAACACTGACTGGACATTGATAATATTAAGGAAATGTTCAGTTATCTATTCACTGGAATAAACCAAAACAAGACATTGTGGTTTAAAATAACAGTCATTTTATTATTCGTGATTCTATGGACAGGAAATTTAGGCTGGACCCAGGTGGGCCATTCTTCTGCTCCACACAGTGTAAATTGGGGTCATTCAGATGTTTGGTTGGTGGCTGCACTCGTGTAGAGAATCTGGAAAGTCTTCACTGATATGTCTAGTACCTGGGTGGGGATAGTTTAAGGCTGGATGCAATATGCTGGAACAATTGGGTCTCTCCCTTTCTCTGACTCTAGATAAATATAATCTAAAGATACATATACATATCTATTTATCTATGTATAGAGAGACTTTTTATATATATAATTTTTATAAAAACTGTATATATAGAGTTATATATAGAGATATATAATATAAAGACTGTGTATACATAGGTGTGTATATATATGTATATACAGAGAGAGAGATGGAGGTATATATACATACAGAGATACAGTTTCTATAAAAACTATATATAATTTCTCTATATAGTCCCTTTTTGTGGTACTTTTTTGTATGGTCTCTTCAGCAGGATAGTAAGATGTCCATGTGGAAGCTCAGTACTCCCAAGGGAGAAGTAGAAACGTCCAGTCTTCTTAAAGTCAAGGCCTGGGAATGGTACGGGATCATTTTTTCCATATTCTATTGACCATCTGGGGACAAGGTATCACAGGAATTATTGACAATTGCTTTTAGGTGTGATGCTATTGTGGCTTTTTAAAATAGTATTTACTTTTTAGGGGTACACAGTGAAATATTTATGGATAAAGTGCTATAGCTTTTAGGGTAACTGTGGGGCGTGCATTCTCAAGGCCCCTAGTGGATGCCTGAAACTACAAATGATACTGAATCCAATATATATTATATTTTTCCCTATACATACACACCTATGATAAAGTTTAACTGATAAATTAGGCACAGTAAGAGATTAACAACAGTAACAATAAAATAGAACCATTATAACCATGTGCTGTAATAAAAGTTACGTAAATGTGGGGTCTCTCTCTCTCTCTCTCTCAAAATATCTTATTGTAATGTATTGACACTTCTCGTAATATGTGAGATAATAAAATGTCTATGTGTTGAGATGAAGTGAGGTGAATGACACAGGTATCATGACATAACGTTAGGCTACCATTGAGCTTTTGATGATAGTCAGACAGATGATCATCTGCTTTCAAACCATGGTTGCCCATGGGTAACTGAAACTGCAGAAAGCAAGGC